TGTTCTTGTATAGTAAATAGCATCAACTCAGGGATTTCAAATATAGCAGCAAGATTTACCAGCAGCTCTCAGAATCTTCCCTAGAGGATGGGCATTTATTGTGGTCAAGCTAGAATTGGCTACCGCAATGCTGGCAAATGGACAGAAGACAACTTAAAAGTCCCAACTTACGCGGCTCATGCCAAAGTACAATAGCGGCCTGCATGTGCACTGGCTGCCTTGCCTTACTTTGCTGAAAGGGTTAATGTATTGGGTATTTGGGTCTTCACTGACTGAGCAGTACACACAAAACAGGAGAATCAAGTCCACCTGCCATGGGGCTGTCCCTGTTTTTCTCCAATTCTAGACCTTTTTTGTAGTTGTGAGTTTGATTTTTTTTTTTTAATCTTTGATATTTTTTTCTGCTAGTCAACAGAAACCCTGAAGGTAGGGGAGAGCATCACCTCTCTTGGAAGCCTGTTCCAGATTCTGGCAACTCTTACTGTAAAGAAGCTCTTCCTGGTGATGTCTAACCTAAATCTCCAGTCTGTTAGTTTGTGGCTGCTGTTCCTAGTTACTCCAAGGGGTGCTCTGGTGAACAGAGCATCTTCTATTCCTTGCTGCTCCCCTCCCCGCGATAAATTTGTAGGTGACCACAAGATCACCTCTCAGCCTTCTCTTGCAGAGGCTGAAGAGATCCAGGGCCCTCAATCTCTCCTCGTAGGGTTTTGCCTGCAAGGCCCTAATCATACGAATGAAGTGTGGGTGTATATGGGGGTAGGGAGGGGTAATAGAACTTGCTTTGAAATGGTACCTTATGGATTTCTGGAACTTTTGAAAGATGCTAGATAGCAGCAGTAAAGGAACATAACATTCACTTAAATGAAGCTGGTTTCGCATTTAGATTAAGTTCCCAATACTTTTGAAGTTGAATTTCAGTAGTGGGATCAGGTAGGTCTTAATTAATTGGATTAGATTCTTTGTCATGTTGTTAACAACTTTTAAAATTGTATGAATATAAACATGTTTTTCCAAATTTCTGTATATATGTAACCTCTTTCAGTTACTCCCGCATATGGTCAAACTTACCTCCTACTTTGAGGGTCTTGGAACCGTAACATTCTTGGTCACAAGTATGATGCATCGGTCACCTACTTGCCTCCTTTTAATATGAAAGTGTCAATATTGGGTATGAGCAATAGGTCAAGTTAATGTACTCCCAGTTGAATCACATGAGAAGTCTAATTAAAAACAAAAGCTTGAATAAGTCTCACATACCTCTTTTTCCAGAAGCCTACATACATAGTTAATATCTGAATCTTTTAGATATAGACAGTGTGCATAGACAAAAAGCTACACCTTAAAGATGGTTGAAATGGC